CCTGCCTCTCCTTGTTTCTGAGCAGGTGAGTCCAAACTCGACAGGCAAAGCTCCCAGCTCTCTTCACAGTGCTATGGTACTAGTTTTTTTGTATTTTTTTGTATGTTTAAAGCATGAGAAGAGTCATTTGGGTATCATCTTCTGTTTCTGTAACAAGACAATGAAGAGATTCAACAGAAGTTGAGAGTTTGAGAGGTGTGGGAGAGAACACTAYCATGACACAATTTTTATATCACAGTTCTTTCATGTTGCTTTTGTTTGAAAGGACAGAACTCATCATCAACGAGGTTTTAATTGTTATTTTTATAGCAGAAACCTCCCGATTCTTTCCTGCACCTTTCTGTGGGAGACCAAAGGGGGGTTTTGCAGGAGAATATAGTCAGTCAGAAAGGAATCCTAAGGCAAAGTAGATAATGGTGAAATGGATAGCCAAATTATCCTTGGTAATGTTATCAGTTTAAAAGAAAAGAGAGAAGTCTCTCCTTGGCAAGCTCTTCTGGAATGCTGTCCCATCATGATCTGCAATGGAAGGAAAAAGGCAGGCAAGGCTGGAGTTAGAACTCAATTAGATTTTGCTACATATTTTGTGTAATGTGTTTCCAAGGTGTTGGAYTTACCGTCTTAAGTCACTGACATCACTACAGCAAGAAAGTGGTGCTGGCAGTGAGTGAGGCCAAGTGAACTGTAGTGTTAGAGCCAGTTAGTCAGAACAAAACTATGGATCCAAAAAACCAGGTTTTTCAAAATCTGAACTTCAGCTTTGAAGAAAACAATAAATTATGTTTGAAATAGACCCATATTGCATTATATTAGTAGTTGGGGTGAGAGGCWTTAGAGTTCTTCAAACAGCTTACTGCAAATAGTATTATTTAGTATAAATATAAGTGCTTTAAGAATTCAATAATTCRATATTTATATTTTCCAAAAACATACTTAATTAACTGAATGCTGCTAAATATTTTCTAAAAACTGTAATTATACACTTAAAATGAGAACTACMTGCTCAAAAGAAACAAAAATCAATTTAACTGTTTTTAAATCTTCATTGTAACTGGAACAGAGAATATATACTTTCAGTTTCATGAAGGGTGGAGATTTATAATTTTAGAATTATTTTATTTAAATGAATTGGATTATACATGAAAGATTTTCCTACCAGTAGCAGGGAAGATTTTGATTATTATAAGTTGTAGTTTTAAACACATGAACTACAGTTAGAAGGTTCAGGTCAGGAAAAAAATAAAAATAAGTTAATGGATACCTTGCTGAAATCACTCTTTGAAAAATAAATTTTTATACCAATTTAAATTAGGAATCATGAAGAAAACATCCTGCTCCCAGATGGAAAAAATTGGCAAAACAGGAATACTAATAATAATGAAAAAAGAGCTGAAGCAACAATTTGCGCATTGAAGGGAATAAATTGTACCTAAGCAACAAAATAATAGACTCCAAGCCAGTGAGCATTTAAGCATATGCTTAATTGTAAACATGTGAACAGTTCATCTCCCTTTAATGAGACAACTGAGAAGTGAAATGCACTTATGGGGCTGGGGCCTAGCACAGTCATTATTGACTACAGTATTAATCAATTAAGAAAGCCATAAAGAAGCAGTGGTGGGTATGTACATGTTAAATATGCCTGTTTGTACTGGAGTGTTTGACAGATTTGTTCAGTTCCCCCTGAACTGTGTGAATGAGTCATCCTGTCACCAGGGAGATGGACTACAGGTGGGTTTCATAACCCATCTGGCTTGCTTAATTTMAGCTATTTAAGCTATTTGGCTAATCTCTCTCTGGAGTTAAGGAAGGCTTTCCTGGTTTACCTCTTATCAGCCTTTGGGGTACTGATTTCTCTCTTTTGACTATAAAAGGAGCCAAGGTGACTCAGCTCAAATTGCATCTGTTTAGCTGGTTATAATCAGGTAAATGAAGTGTTTTGGGGTCTGATGTTAGGGTAGATTATATGASCATGCACATACTGAACTTAATGAATCTCATTGCAGAAGATGCTCATAAGCATAGTTTGATTTCTTTTAACTCCAATTTTGCAGAATCTATCATCAGTGGCTTCCAAAAGGTAAGATATCTCTGTCTCATGATGCCACAAAGCATAAACAAATATAACCATTAAGTTTTTAGCCTGTATGTTTATTACACAATTGCACTGCAGTCCAATCAAAATGATTCACATTTATAAACTTGTAATGCACAGTRAGCTTGAGTTCAGTACAATGGTGGATAGATGTGAGACTGAAGCCTCTCTTGTTCACAAAGCAACAACCTCCTAGATATATTACCTGGCTGAAATGGCTTATATGGYCATCGAGATGCATGGCCACTCAGAGAATGTGGGTCATGCCAGGGGACTACCTCTTGCAACACACCTGGAGCCCAGCAAATGCTTTGCAGCTTTGGTGCTGATCCAATCAAGCACGGAAATAACAGGGAAGTGAGTCATGCTGAGAGGTGGATACTTGCTGTTAATCCCAGCTTTTAAAATGTACACAGTTTGTCATCATTTTTTATTGTGGTGAACATGTATGTCTGGCTGCTTTTGTTTCACAATTGCCTGATGTTTGCTGTGGACTCTCTTTTCAGCTCATGTGCTGCAATCATTTGCTTTTCACTTGGAAGGATGTAATCAGGCAAAAATCCCTTCAAAACCAGTTCCACTAARGAAAAGACCTAAGCAGGAGAAGCAAATATATGAGGTAGGGTGGAGAGGAATGTGTTCTAATCCTGAAACATCTGCTCTTTGAAAAGTGATGTTACAAATGTTTAACCACACGTTCATCTTTCACCCTTAAAAACTCAGCTAAAGGTGGATGAGATGGCAGGGAGAAACAAATTACAGATGATACTGGAGAAGAAAGGTAATATGAAAATAACTAGTAAGGCTGAAATTATGAAAAAAATCAGATGCATTTGGGACAAATACTACAGAAAATGAATACTAAATACTAATCATACAGATAGATGAATACTAAATGTAAAGCCAGGAAGGAATTGAATAAATTTGCAGTTTGCAGTGCAGACTGACATTATGGATATGCACACACTCAAGTCTGAGAATGTCTTGTATCACTGCACTTTTCTCATACACAAGTAAAACACATGCCCWAGTATTTTATTAAATGGGAGTAGTATGTCTACTAACATCATTGAAGTATACCATAGATTTAAACTGGATTCTGAATGAAGGTTTTGTCATAAAAAAAGCCATTGTCAAAACAGGCAAGAAATGCAGAGGCACTGTATCATGAAGCCGTACGGAGAGGTATTGATAGGTTCTCTGCTYACAGTTTCTAAGGGCTCTGGCAGGACAGTTGTTTTTATTTTACATTCTGATGAACAGAAATAGTACTGAAATGGAAAAAAACAATAAATGACATATAAGTTGGAAAAATCTGGCCTAGCTCTCTTAAGTTATCATATTAAAGATTTTCCTGTTGTTTTACCTGGCAGTAGTGCATGCTACACTATATCCTGTGTGTGTGAAACTGGAGATAAGTCTTCATCTGRCAAAGTAATGACTGTGTGAAATGGTCTGGGGACACAATGAGRTTTGGGTACCATCTTTTAATTAAAATAGGCATTTCTATCTTAAACAAATGTAAATGCAAGTTTGTTATAGATCTAAATAGCCTGCAGGGCATTGGATTGGTTGATACTGCACTGGGTACCAAGGGCACGTAGTACTCAGTCCTGAGCTCCCACAGAGAACTGGGATGAGTGTGCAGAAGCAGGAGAGGAAGGAAGGAAACTTCTCCACCACTCACCCAAGCCCCARTGTGTGGCACTGACGGAAGCTTGGGGGCTGACTTTTAGGATATGAACAGTACTAAAGTGGCTTCCTGTATTCCAGGAAGCAGGACTTTGTCYTAATGTGTAAAGGAACACAGTTTCACAAAAGGTATTTGCACATTAGATCTAGCAAAGCACAACCAAAGCCAGGTGGCTACAAAGGCCAGTRGCATCCTGGYCAATGGCATCAGAAATGGTGTGGCCAGAAGGACCAGGGCACTGATTGTCCCCCTGTACCTGGTACTGGTGAGGCTGCACCCAAAATCCTGTGTCCAGTTTCGGGGCCACTCAATTCAGGAAAGACRTCGAGGTGCTGGAGTGTGTCCAGAGAAGGGTAATGAGGCTGGGGAAAGGTCTGGAGCACAAGTCCTGTGAGGAATGGCTGAGGGAGCTGCAGGGGCTCAGGCTGAAGAAAAGGAGTCCTAGGGGAGACCTCCTCCCTCTGTACTTACCTGAAAGGAGGTTGTAGCAAGATGGGGGTCGTTCTCTTTTCCCAGGTAACAGGTGACAGAACTAGAAGAAATGGCTTCAGCATGTGCTGTGGGAGCTTTAGATTGGGTATCGGAAAAAAATTCTTCACTGAAAGGAATGGGCTGCCCAGGGAAATGGTGCAATCACCATTCCTGGAAGTGTTCAAAAGGTGTGGGGAATGTGGCATTTGGGGATATGGTTTAGAGGTGAATACAGTGGTGCTGGTGTAATGGTTGGACTCAATTATCGGAGTGATCTTTCCTAATCAATCATAACAATTCTATGATTAAAGGATGGAATCTTCTGAAATTGCAGCTTGCCTTTTAAAAATCAGGGGTCKGATTCACTTCCAGATATTAAATTTCCCTCTTTGTGCTTGTGARGATCCAGGAGTAATTTGAGAAAGAGCCTTTGTCCTATGAATTTGGACAAKCAGAGATAACAATGAGTGGTACAGATTTCTTAAAACGAGGATGTCGTTTTGCTGCGGAATGAAAGACGACAGCAAACTCATTCCGCCACCTAAGATCAATCCCTTGCGATGCTTCCCAGACTTTCCCTGTCGGCTTCCTCGGGGACAGGCGGCGGCGGGGACCCGGCGGAGGCAGGCGAGCAGGGTGGGGGAAATCCGTCCAAAACCTGCCCCCGTCCCTTGTCCCTTTAAGGCAGCACTATCCCTTTAAAAGGCGGCCGGCGGCGGCCGGCGGGCGGGAGGCGGCGGYGGTGACGGCCGGGGCCATCGCCTGCCCGCCGGCTTTTCCCCCCCTTCCTGCCGGTCCGTCGCTCGCAGCCCGTTAAAAAGAGGAGGCAAGATGGCCGAGCTGGGCAGCAAGGGGGTCACGGCCGGGAAAATCGCCAGCAACGTCCAGAAGAAGCTGACCCGGGCGCAGGAGAAGGTAGGGGAGAAGGGGGRCATCCCCGGGATGCGGGGTTGGGAGGGGAGGACCCGGGTACCGGGGATGACAGCCCTCCCCAAAGCAGGGATGCGTCTCGCAGCGGGTGCTTGCGGGAGGGGGATGGCAGCTGCCTTGGCTGCCTGCGGAATGAGGGCCCCTCTGCATCCTGAGAATGCCGAGTGTCCCCATTGCGAGCGGTGAGCGTTCACCGTCCGCCTGCGGAAACATGGCATCGCGTTCCGCCGGGAGCGGGAGCGAGCACGGAGTGCCGCACGCTTGTGCTGGATCCGCAGATGCTTATTGTTTCTACGGGAGGAGAYCTTCCCCTTGTGGCATTTGGGTTGTGCTTTATGCAGCGTTTTCGAGAGCAGGTCTGTGTTTTGCCATAGCGCTAAATGGGTAACCCCAAAGATGGAGAGGGAAAGGAGGTGGACACTTGCCCTTTATCTTCCACCAGCATCGCGTGATAGTGGCTGCTTGCTGGGCTGACCTTGAGCTCCTCATTTTGGAATGGTGGTAAAACCAAAGCCGTACGGCCTTTAAAGATTGTGCCGATCTGCCGAGGGAGGGGGGGATTTTTGAGTCCCGGGAGCCCTTTCGCTGCTCTCCGCCCACCCCTGTGCCAGCAGAAGGTGCCAGGAATATGCAATGGATACTTTTCCTGTTCATCTCTCTGGCATGCTGCRTCCGATGCCAGATGCCTGCTCTGTGTGGGGATTATCAGGCATTTTACGCAGGGACATCGATCAGCTGCTTTTATTGCAGGCACGCTCGTCTTGGTTTTCATGGTTTGCTGTGAGATGACATTGACTGAATAAGGACTGGTGCATCTTGGAGGGAGGGCTGGCGGGCAGATCTGCCCACTGCTGCTCGTGTTCCCTTGGAGTTATCTTTAGCAGCTAGATTTAATCTAGGAGGGTTGGGATTAAATGCAGGGCTGGCCTGAGCCTTGTACCAGTCTCTGACACTGCTCAAAACGCTACTGGGTCAGAAYGGCAGCCCAAACCACTTGGACTTAATGCTGCATCCACTACTTTTAGCTCACTTACTGAGAGTAGGAGCATCCCTTGAACTTGTCTGACTGCTTGGAAAAAAACCCAGTGGCTACCATATCCAGTAGGATCTGCAGCAGCAAGGTTCACTCTGCAGACAAGAGTCAGCATGGCCATATCTGTGGGTTTTTTATCCTATTGTTGTTCCAGAGGGGACAGGACAGGGAGTCTAGTTCACYCTGAACTCATCTCAGATGCTAACTTCACTCTGTGTTAGCCACCAGATGGCAACCATATTTGTAGCTAATATTGGGGTAGGTGGTAGAGGCTGAGCTCCCTGACCTGCTGATGAAGTTATTGTGTTTAGTGGAGCAGCCTGGAGCCAAGTGTGGCTTGCCAAGCCCTTCCCTCACCTCTTATCAGAACACACACAGGTTCTCTTCCTAGGAAGAATTTTCCACAAATTTCTGTCAACTGTCGATCTAGCWCACTTCCTTGCTCACGCCCTGGTGGTGTTTGGGGATGTGGGAATGACAATAATAATCAAGAGTTAGCTGCGTATACAGGTGATTTGCAATGGTCTGAAAASTGTTGTTTGTCTCTTTGTGAAGAGAAAAGCACAGCTTGTTTTTCTCTAAGAACAAAAGGAAAACAACTCCGCAGCACTTGGTAACAAATTCTAGACCCTTCAGCTGTTGTTATCCTGATGCAAACAGTATAACTTTGCTCTCTGGGCTCTCAAAAAAAAAAAAAAAAAAAAAAAAAAAAAAAAAAAAAAAAAAAAAAAAAAAAAAAAAAAAAAAAAAAAAAAAAGGCATTGCTTGCTTCATCATCTGACTTGCCTCCTCATACTGCTACAGTGTTGTCTGTAACAATTCTTCTTTCGTGAAACATTCAGTGTTTTGCCCATGTATCTAAGGGACAGACTTTCACTGAGGCAAATACATCAATGTTATCTTGCAGGTCATGAGGAGAGATACAGCTGAATGTGAACTGACGTGGAAGCATCAGTGGTTATGACACTCTGCTCTTGTGGTGTTTAGTTTTAAACTGTGATACTGTGTTTAGCAGGAAGGGTAAACCATGTGTCAGGAGATAAGGAGCAGGTGGTRAATAATAAAAAAGAGGTAAGCAGAAGTGTGCAGAGGTGAATCTGGTAACACAGCTTAAAAATGTATTAGATTTTTGTGAAAGGATGTTGGCTAGGGTTGAACTTTCCTTTTTGAGGCTTAAACAAGCTGACTGTTCCTTTTCCATATGGTATTTTGATTTGAATTGAGGATAAAAAAATTCTTCCCTTCAAAATATCTCCCTCTCAACTTGAGCCCTGCGGCTTTGACCTCAGCGGTTTTCTTCATGGTGAATTTAAGCCTTGTGTTAAGCAAAGAATGATGCCTTTTTGTTCGATKCAGGATTCACACTGAAGCACTGTACACATCCTTTTTGTCCCTTCTGAGATGCCCATTATGTAAACTATGTAAGATATTCCTTCAGAAGTGCTATTTGTTTTGAGCCTTTCAGCAAAACTGTTGGCTATTTTTGGAAGACACTTTAGCAATTCCACAGGAAACATGGGGTGGAAGGGTTGGCTGTGCTTTTTACAGATGGCTGGGCACCCACCACTCCATCTCTACTCAGAGGTAGCCTCAAGTACAATACTTGTCAATAATTTGCCAATTGTCCAGTWAAGTGTGTCAAATAAGTTGGTGCTGCTGTCCAGAGGAACTCACCCAGCAAAAAAAAAAAAACCCTGTGCAACTGTTGCGAACTCATACCACCTTTTGCAACTAATTAGGACAAATTAGGATGTATAGGCTGGAAATTGTAATCTCTTYGTCCTGAATTTGGCTAAGGATTCTCAGACTGAGATGTTGAGCTCTGGACTTTCCATTCTAAACTTAAATGTGAGTAAAATTGTAATGCCCCCAATGTCATGATGTCTTAGAGGGGAGCATAGGGTTTGCAAGCTCTTTTAAACATTGCCAGTGATGCTCAGAAGTTTTTTTATTATTTATGTCTGTAATCCATCATCTTGATTAAAGTTTGTGTTTCTGCTTTGTGACCAATTTTCATCTTAACACTTTTGAAAATTTAAAAAATCTCCCCAATTTCCACARCTCTCATTTTCCTCTAATAATGTCCTGTTTCTGGATGTGTCTGTCTGCAGAGGCACATTTTTGCTTTGAACAAATTCAAACAGCGTCTTGATGACTTGGTGTAATCCTGGTGTGAGAGTAGCTCCTCTGTGAGGTTCCAGGGGGGTATCTAAGCTCAGGGAGCAAATGAATTGTGGTTTAGTATCTTGGCTGGTGGTGAGGGTCCTTGTCATAGGATCGAGCTCTTTGCTTTCCTTTAGTGTGTTAGGCAGAGGTTCAGAGTGGAAAGATGGTATTGGCTGTACAGGCACCAACTTTTGATATAAGTTGCATACAGAGTAATAAATCTGTCTGAGGAGGTGAATTGTAAAGTTGACTTCAGAAAGAAAGCATTTTTCCCTTGGGAGCTTTTTTTTTTTTTTGTATGGAGAGGAGTAGAAAGGAATGAAGTTGTTTTTACTTAGACTGAACATAGGARGTTCTTATCCTACAGTAGTGGTGGTGTCCACTCTCTTTTTGTTACAAACCTAGGCAAAACGAGGAGTCTGTGTTCTGTCACATTGTGAACAGACTGTTGTGTTTTGTCATGGGTTTCTTCTGATGTACCAACAGACCAAGGCATCCCCTTTCCTCCCTCTCAGTCCATAACCAATGGGGAAGGCTTTGTTTTCCACACAGGACCTTGCAAAGTTTAGTTTGGACACCCAAATTTCCTTTCGTTAGTTAGGGGGTCACATTTAGGTCGTAGACTGTTGCTGACTTGCYGTGTTGCCATGAAATATCACTTCTGCTTTCTGTTCTTGGCTTAGTTAATTCCACCGATGTTTATYCACGTCTGTTTGAAGTTTTCCTCTTTAAACCATCTGTCAGAGCAAAGTTCTGCTCTCCTTTGGCTGCACAGTCCAAGGAGGCTGGGCTGTAGTCTTGGTCTCACAGATTGTGGTATGGGTGGAACAGGCTTTGCAGAAGGYATGGTTTGCATTTTGAATTTGCCCTGATAAGACTCTTTTTTTCTTCTCTTAAGTCAAACTCCAATAGGTGGAGCATGGTAGGAGGAAATAACYGGGAATGAAATCTCAGCCCTGTTGAAGCTGCTGTGAATCTGTACTAATGAGCACTACCCAAGAATCTTAAAGCAAATTTAAATACAGCTGTCATTAGGATTCACCTATCAGAGGCTCACTGAACTGTAGAAACTCTGCAGATGGGGACGGAGCCTTCCTATAAAAATGGTATATGCAGGAAGTATTGCCAAGTATTGCCTCTACCTACTTGAAGGAAGTTCCTTATTAGTTTTCCTTCAGGATCCTTCTGTCTTTTTCTGTGGTTTTTTTTCATTCTTTTACATAGGGTAGGGTGGTTTGGTGTCAGTCTGCCTTGTTGTGCCAGTGAAGTACAAATAGCCTGARGAGCTACAAGTATTGTTCTCTTACTGATCTGGCAAGAAAATTAACGTTTTGGTTTTTTTCGGGGGGACTCTCCAGATGACAAAGACAGGGCTTTTTACTTTATGTCTTCTAGCTTGTTTTCTCAAGAATGCGGGTCTTAGGTGATGGGCAGAGTCTCAAAGGTACTTTGTGCCTAAAGGTTGCTGGAAAACAGGCACTGGGTACAGGAGGAAGATCTGAATTAATGTCCCAAATGTTCAGATGATTCCACTGTGAGCTCAGACTGTATTACTGGTATCAGATAATCTGCATGGCACAGGGAGGAGGTGAAATAGGAAACCAGGCTCCACATGTTTCCTTGCCCATGGAATGGTTTGATTGGCAGGACACTTACAGTGCCCTGCTGAAGGTGCCCTTTTGTCTGGCTGCTGGCAACAGATTTCTTATATGAGGCAGAATCTCGTGGATGGATGAATTTTGTGATTGGAAAAGGCCCAACCCTATTCCTGGTCACTCTGTCTTTC